CGGGTCGGGTCTTGCGGCTCTTTTGGTGTTGGACGCCGTTTTTTTCCCTACTCTTTCTTTTTTTCACGGCTGGGCTCTGGTGCAAATTGCGGAATCCTAAGCTAACGAGGTGTGTCTTGGCAGTCGAGAGCAGAAGCTACTGGCGGGTCAGAGCCAATGACAACAGCCTAAGCCGAAAGGGTTGCGGAGAAGGTCGAGTGGGGGGAGATTTGAGACAGGCATTGGGTTGGATGGACGGTGGTAGCGTCCGGCTGAAGCCCGCTTGGAGTAAGACGATGATCTACCCTAGCAGAGATAAGTAACCGGGCAACAACGACGGACCGGGTCTTCAGGGAATAAGTACCTCGTTCAGGAGGGTAATTGCAAGTCCTTTCCACCCAGTTCACACCGCGTTGTGTAGCTGTGACTTGCAGTTTGACGAGCAAGGCGTTGAGTGAGGAGAGAAAGTCGGATGGATCAGATTGCCTCGCCATCGGAGTGGTTTCAGCGCTCGTCGCCTGCAGCTGCAACACCACAAACAGCATCACCACCACACGAAAACAATGAGGATGACCTCCCCACCATGAAGGCGACGCGTGCAGGCGATGCTGAGGAGGCAGGACTGACAGACAGCACGGCAACGACGCGTTTCAGTCTCTGGTCTGGCTGGCCAGCCAGATCATCATCAAGTCAGCCCCTGGCATCTCCGCCCATGGCAGGCGACGGCGAGGTCCAGCATCTCGCGGGGGAGGAGCCCGGGCTCGAGGAGGGGGACGGATGTTCGCCTGGGGCTGGGAATGCGAACGGGGAGGGGCAGCATTTTTCAGACGCGACAAAAGGGGCCCACTTCTTCCGGTTTCCTCGCCTGGCCCTTGGCTCGTCCTACTCGACGGGCCACATCCCCACCTACCACCACGACGCGTCTCCCGTGGACGAGCTCGCAGCAGCCGATCGTCTGGGCCCAGGTCACCACCACCACCACCACCACCACCACCACCACCACCACCACGATCCCGAGTCCATGGCGGCAGCAACAAAACCTCAGACCTTACTCGGCGGCGGCAACCTGCAGTCTTCTGTTTTCGACATTGCCCTCGAGGACTCCAGGGACGACCCTGCCGATCATTCCAATTCCGAGTGGGTCAGGCCCGCTCTAGGCCCCGCACACGCTGTGTCGGACCCCACTACTGCTTTAAACAAGCTTGACAAGCTCAAAAGTAAAACGGCCGGCATCGAGGTCACTAACACCACCACTACCACCACCACCACCGCCTCCTCGCATGTTGCGCAATCCAATTCCAGCAACCTCTGGCCCGCCTGGTTCCACACGCTGCCCTCCTCAAAAGTAACCGCACCACATTCTGAAGACTCGGACTCGCTCTTCACCGTGCCTGCGTCGCCAACAGAGAGTGGCAGCCGCCATTCTCAATCTCACCACTCACTTGACCCCTCTACCCCCGTTGAGCGGCCCAACACAATGTTCGCCCTCGTCGCCTTGGCAAAATTTGCCGCCTTTGCTGTAAGCCCTTCTCTCACGGCCGTTAGCATCATCTGATTGGAGCTAACCTATCTTATGTCTCGCAGGACGTCTTTCTCTCTGGTCTTGTAAGTGTCCAATGAATCACAATCATCACTCCAGGAACCCACCTACTCACAACAGTCTCCAGGTCGTCCTCCTCGTCCCATTCATCATTATCGAGCGGGCCGATGTCCTTCCTGAGCGAAGTATGTCTGCATTCAGTTTCCTCGTTCCCTTCAATGCATTCCACTGCACTGGCAGATTTGAGTATCTATTTTGAACGTCTTTACTAACTCCTGACTCCCACCACTTAGTCCAAATGTGGACTTCGGTTCTCATCGCAGCCTATGGAGGGGCCTTCGTGGCCCTATCTCGTGAGTACCACCACCCTATTATTCCCTGCGCCTTCTTTTGTATCTGGGCACATCTTCTAACACCCCAGGGAAAGCCCTTCTGCCATTCCTGACACCGCCTCGAGGACCAATGCTCTGGTCCATCCTCTTCGTCGGCCTCGCCTGTGCTGCTGGCTCCTTCGCCCTGATGCAGCTCTCCTCCAGCATCCTGCTCTTAATTCTCGCCCGTGTCATTCACGGAGTTGGCTCTGTGGCGACCACAGGAGCATGCTCGGGCATGCTGTCAGCTGCTGCTGGATCGAGCGGCACCGATTTCCTAGCGTGGATGACGCCAGCATTTATTCAAAGCATGGCCATGTCTGCCGCTCCTACTATTGCCGGCCTTCTCTACGATTATGCCGGTGGAGAGACAGCCGTCTTCTACTGCGCATATGCCATGATCGGTCTGACTGCGCTACTCGCTTTGTTTGTCGTTATCGCCACGCCTGAAGCTCAAGTCAGCACTACACGCGACGATGACATGACCGACCGGCTGCTGTCGTTCGAAGGAGAAAATCGAAACTACGGCACTATTGGCGGTAATGGAACACAGGCAGATTTCACCCTTCGGGGCGGCGGATCTGGCGAAGACTCGGCAAGGTCGAGACTATCTGGATCCAGCCTTCGGAGCTCAAGAAGCTCCAGACGGGGCAGCACTGCTTCATCCGTCACAGCCTTCCATGAAATCCTGACCCCAGCGAGCAGCCCACGCACTTTCGTCGCTATGTACGGCTATGTCGTCGTTGGCCTGCTCACAACCGCTCTTCACAGCGTACTACCCCTATTTGTCGAGAGGACTTTCAAATGGCCCATGTCAGCTAATGGCTTTGTCTTTGTCGTTCTCTCGGCTCCGGCCGCTTTAATCAGTCCTCTTGCAGGCGCTCTGACTGATCGAGCTCCCAAGGTTGCTCGCTTTCTGACAGCTTTCGGCTTCCTTGCCTGCTTGCCAGCGTTTATATATCTGGGCAGCTTGAACGAAAACACCCCTCCAGTTTACACTGCCTTCCTTGCCACTCTGGCTGTCATCTCATTTGCAACAGGCCTTTGTGCTGAGCCCTTGAACAGGGTCATCGTACAGGCAGTTACCAGAGCAGAGCAAGCGTCCTTTGAAAATGCCTACCTCCCAAGTCCGACAGCACAAGCCTCAAGCCTACCGAATGTGGCTTGGGCATGGGGTATTTTGATTGGCCCACTCCTTGCGGGTGTCGTTAGCAGCGGCTGGGGCTGGCAGAACATGGCAACAGCCCTAGGCTCTGTCGGTGCGTTTACAAGTCTGATAATGCTCTTGTACTTGCAAGGCTGGATCGGGAATCTGTACTCACAGAGTGGAGGCCGAAATGCTGCTCCTACCAGGGACGAAGAAACGGCACCACTGCTGCATCGATTATTTGAGCACAGTGGCGACTCCTATACCTATCAGAGGCCATCAATGCTTTCTGACGACGAGAACGGTCGAGATCTTCCAAAGGGAGGCTTCTTTGAGCGCACAGCACCTTTTATCAGCACGGATGAGTCAGAGGACTTCGTTCCCAAAAAGTTCAGACATCGCAGACACTTCAGCGTAGACAACTTCTCGGCCGGGTCTGTATCCTCGGACCCAGAGACATCTCAGATACGATTCCAAGCGGCTCTGGAAACACCCCTTTCTACATCTATCACAGTTAGCCAGCAAACCGGAGACAGCGCCAAGAATGCTCAACGGCGCTTCCTTATGAGGGAGGCCCCTCACGCGCCGGCCACAGACCCGCTTCTGGCTGAAGGAAACCGCTACGTAATCGACGAGGAACTGTCCACTGTTCCGGAGGGCGAGGAGTTGCCGAAACGCCACGTCGTCGTATTTGAGGAGGGCAATGTCCCTCCTGGACTGCTCAAGCGTGGCCAGCACCACACAGTCACGATCAACAGCGTCGACGGCTCAGCCAAGCTAGTGTTGAACCCCGAGTCAGAGAGCCACGCCGTCCACGTGACGGAGGAGACAGGCGAAGAGCCCGAGTTTTCGAGCGCATCTCGGCGCTATGTTGTCATCCTTCTAAATGAAGGAGAGACTGGCTTTGAGACGGGGGGCGACGAGTCTACGTGAGTCGTGACAGGAGGAGGAAGAGGGGTCCTGATGGATCAGAGGGGATCTATCACGACTAAGGGTGCTTATCTCCTACTCGCTAACACAAGACGCCTATGATTATCAGTACCTCCTGATTAGAAGTAGAACGGAAGTGGAAGAATGGAGAGAGAAGAACGGACGTCGATGAAGGTGAAGATGAAGAAGAACAAAGCTAACGAGATTGAGGACGGGGCGGGAGGATTTTTGACTTCAAGTTGCTGCTAAAGATACCACGTTGCCATGATGTATATATGAGAATCGCACATACGAATGAGATGGACCATCGGCGAGATGTTTCATACGGGCAGGGCTCTGTATTTCAGTTTTGGTTTTGGGCCTTGTCTTTTTTTCTTTGGAGCATATTTCAGATCTTATACTTGGTTGGGAGCGAGCGCAGGGAATTAATCGGGTTTCTTTTGTTGTTTCAGATCATATGTTGTATGCATTCAAAGGTGCTTACCGCGGGGGCGCCTGATTGTATTTAGCTGCGTCATTTTGCATTTTGCTGCATAGTCTTTCTTGGCCGCTCGTCAAGACCTGGATACGCAGTAGATAATAACCTGATATCAAGGATCAAGATATACGTGTGCTCATTTGTGTATCCGTGTTTTGTTTCAATGGGCTTGATGGAACGTGTGTAGATAGCATGAAATGCTCCGTGTATAATCTATCTATGCCCAGACGAATATGAGTTGCGAGCCTCAGTTTGAATTGAGGCTGAGCTCTCAACACCAACAACCTCCCCGCCTTTTCTATCATGCACATCTAAAGACCATCGTTCCTGATGTATAATCCCCCAGACTCGTTGGTCCCAGTAAATATAAAGTCTAATCGAAGACAGATGTTCCATCCAACCCAGGGTGACGACTATTGCCGTTACCATAACGAAAAAATGATTCGGTCGGTGCCAACGCCGATACATGATGACTGTCTTTCTCCCAACACACTGAAAAGAAACAGGAAAAAAGAAGATCCATTAGATACAGCGGAGCAAGAGAGCAAAAAGAGTCGATCGAGCTGGGACTCGAACCCAGAACCTTTACCAACTGGGAGAATTCAGATTGATTTTTGTGCCAGCTAGATAACCGGAAAGTAACGCGCTACTATTGCGCTACCCGACCTATTCGTGTTTGGTATTTTGATGTGGTGGTGATGGGGCGGTATCGCGACTCGTGGAGCAGACCAAACTGCCTGGCTCCGAGTTTGTGGTGTCGATGTTTCTCGAGATGTTTGTTATTGCTGTCGTTGAGTATCTGCCTCCCTCCCTGGATTGAATGAAAAAGATGTGCATTTTGTTTGTTCACTGGTAGAACCAGACAGGGCAATGCATGTGTATACCCAACTGGTGTGTTTCTTGGTGTTGCGCGCGGCGCGCATCGCATCGCGCCCATTGTTGTATCGTGTCGCATCTACCAGAATGCCTGCCTGCCTGCCTGTCTGAATGATTGACTGATCGACTGACATAAACGACTGCGACAAGTTGTAATCAAAGGTCGTCACCGCTCGAAAAGTCGCCGAATCCCCAGGAAATCTTCTCTTGTCGCCTGGCGTCCGTGTCCCTCTGCGTGGCCTTCTCCGAGGCAGCCTTGATGGCGAGGCAGGCGTCGCACTTCTGGGCCTTGTTTGGGCGGCCGGTCCGGCCCAGGTCAGTCTGCTTGCAGTACTTGTGCTCCGTCACGTCGGTCCATTGGCGAGGGGGGTCGATGTTTGTCGCCTTGGGGAGCTTGTTGTAGCTGTGGCCCATGGCTGCTGCTGGCAGGTGCGCGGTGGCACTGAGACGACGATGATGGAGGTAGGTGTATGGCGAAAAGAAGTGGTGTGACAGGTGCGGTCAGGTTTTTGTGTGTGTCGAGTTTGGAAGGTTGAAATGTGGCGTGATGCGATGCGTGTGTGTCTGTGCCTTGAGAGATTGAAGTGCCTTTGTCTCAGAGATGAAATGACTGCAGGGTGAAAATCATGGAAGAATAGAGCGGGTCTTGGATATTTGGGAAAGAGGGCCAAGCGTGGTATATAAAGGCAGGCACAAAAGGGCATTGTCTTTGGGGCATGGTTGGATTTTGCTGTTTGGTGTGTCGAGGTTCTGTATAACTGTGCACTTGGGTGGCATGTCATAGGTCGCTTTGGCCATTGTGTGCGTCGAGAACCGCGATTCCGGTCTTGTCGAATGATGTCATATGGGGAGGTGTCACCCGGGATCCCTTCGTCTGATCACCTGTTGTTGTTTCGCCACACACCACGGCAAGGAGATGAAAGGTTGCAATGAAATTCTATTGACCCTAACCCTCATAAAAGGGCACCACCAGTCCCTGAACCCCTGAACCCCCAATCAAATAGACTCGAATATGATGACACACTCCGTCGTTTACCAAAACTTTGGATTAGAAAGCGCCTGTGGAATTGATCAGAGTTTTTTCTCTAGTGCTGTCGTGGGGTTTCTACGTACCTTTTCAGAGGCTTGATGTTCGTAATTTTGATGCCCGAAGCGGCCTGTTTCTTGTTGAATTCGATTTCCAGGCTTTTGAAGCGCTCCTGGTAATCAAGTTTCTGCTTTCTACGCACCTCGGACACCCAGATGTGATGTCTTTTTTCCCACTCGATGGTTTCGGAGGCCCAACTGGATATCCTGTTGTGCAAGACAGCACTGATGAGCTTATGACCATCTTCCTTAAATGCTGCTCCCCTAATATTCCTCGTATGACACCATGCCATATACGCTTGGTGGTGCTCGGCTCGTTTGGCCATGACCCATGCGTCCCATGAAGCGTATATCTTTCTAAGGCAGGTTTCGTAGTCGTTTTGTAAAGACTTCGCATAAGTCTGAGAGTTGTTAGGATCAGTTCGTATTCAGTCAGATGAGGGGCGAGTTGGGATTAGATACCGGTGGCGGGGTTGCTGGTCTCGAGAGAATCGTAGGCGCACGCATTGAGGGCGTTATCTCCCCAGAAACTCTCTCGGAGTAAGTTGGTGGTTCATCGCCCGGGCTGTAGATGGGAAGTGCCTCGTCTCCTTCATCCTCGTCATCATTGTCGTCGTCGAAGTAGTTGTCGTCGTCAAAGTAGTTGTCGTCGTCAAAGTAATTGTCGTCGTCAAAGTAATTGTTGTTATAAATGTCATTGTCGATGTAATTGTCGTTGTCATTGCCGTTGACGATGTAATTGTCAATGTCGCTATCATTGTAGTCGCTGTAGTCGTCAAGCCCGGGAAAACGATGCTGATCCAGTGACATCTCTGGCTCCCAATCTTCCATCATTGGTCAGTACTGAGTTCGATTGCTTCCAAACTATTCGAGCAGCCAGAAGAGCCAGATTGTATCTGGCCACGTACCTAACCAATAGAGACGCTCACTCGCCTGTGATAAAGTCGTAATGTTGCTTGAAATCTCTTGGTGTAAAAGGAAAAGTAAGGATGTGATGAAATGTGCACAAGAGAATTTGAGAGAACTACTGCGGGATGTAATGGGGTTTTATGCGATGGACTTCGAACCTTAAACGAGTCAAAGTCGGAGAAACACATGATAATGAAGGTTTTCCATTAAAAATTTGCAAAGTTTCTCAAAGTTTACTATGAACTATAATCACAAGAAAAAGTCAAGACTGGCAGGAGCAATCTTTATCCGACAATTAAGACACGTTGCCAAAATCCACAACCCCCCTCCTCCAGCTGCTAGTTCTTCTGACGCCCACTTGCTCCCATCTTCTGCGCTCGCACTGCCTGAAGGCCGCGACGTGCCACTTTCCACGACCTCCAACAGAAAACATTTCGCCCACTTCGTCGCAGAATCGTTGCACTGAAACCATCACCAACGACATCTATCCGTAATACCACAACTTCAGCAACCCCCTACGAGATCTGAAGAGCGGCATCGAGTCTTGGCATGCTCAAGAGCTGGTAATCGATGATCCAGGTAAACAGGCCTCTTGGGTCTTACCAGGAGGATGACATGTCCAAAGGTGAGGTATGCAACGCGCAGCCCGTGAGCGTAGTGAGGGTAAGGTAGGCCAGGTCCTAAGAAAACCGTGTGGTGCAGATAAGCAGCGAGCCAGCAGCCAGGAAAACAAAGAGAATATCAAGAAAAATACAAAAGATACATCATAAACTCTTTAGACACGTGTTGAGATAAGTCATGCTAATTTGAATTTTCGTATCTTAAACTGAGAGAATCATAGGTTAATCTCTGGACATCCGCTTTGCCGTTTTCAATCACGGTAGTAGTGGAAGAAAGGGACTTGAGAAACCCCGCCATACACTTGCTGGCATCTGCTGCCGACAGTTTAAAACTAAATGGGGCGTTGCTGCTTCTAGTGGCGGCAGCAACGGTTTCCTCAGTGGCGTTGTCGTCGACAACGGTGTCCTGGATGGCGGTGGCTTGGCTGGCGGTGTTATCGACAACAGTGTCATTGACAATGGCAAGCAAAAACAATATGTCCTAGTAAAGTTAGGTACCTAAGTGAAACAAAACAGGAAGGCGAATGAGCCATTTGGACGATAGATGAAGCTTTCGTCCATATTGCTGCCCGTCTCACTGCCCACCTCTCTGCCCGTCGGCTTCTGTTGAAGTATTGGCTGGTTTAAGTACCACTTAGCATGAACCAAGATCTGTGTTTTGCCGGATCCAGCGAATCCGAAGTTGTAAACTTGCAGAACTTGGAGAATATGTCTCGCACGCTTCGACCGTCTTTCCAAGTGACTATGCCACCCTTTTTTCTTTGGTAAGATCTTCTCGGGTGCCCACAGGGGCAGGTTCATGGGGTAAAGAGTACGCACATCCGGCTGCTTTCTCTGGATGTCCCTGTATTAGTGTACGTCTTTATGAACGACTTTACTAACGTTCAGTATTGATTTTGTCGCAACCACTGAGCTGTGGGATGGTTGGAGTCGTCTTATCCTTGATTTTACTGGGCAGCTGTCTTTTGTAATATTGACAGTATCGTCTGGGGCCGAACTTGAGTATCAGGTAGGTATCCTGACGTACACGACCTGTGATATAAACTTGTATTCTTATTTTAATAGCACTTTATATACATCTAAATCAAGCAGAGCCTATAAGCTTTACTTGATCAAGCCAAGGTATCCAGGTAGATATCCAACGAGCCTAAGTCTCTCCCAGAGTCATCATCATTGACTATCACCCAAGAGAATACCTACTGAGTGCCCCGTGCCCCCACTATTCTATCTGTTTAGATAGTATCACCCCCACCACAAGGCCCAGAATGCTCCCCGGCATGCCCATGGCTGCCCCTCCGCGTGAACTGCGCCCTCGCAGCATCATACCTCCGCTTCGACAGGTTGACCGGCGCGAGCGAGTCGAAGCTCAGCGCGTACGTCGCCACCGTGTGCGCGATCGCCTTGCTGTTGGTCAGGTACGCCTCGTGGTTCAGGTTGTCATAAGTGTCCCGGGCGGTGTGGTAGTTCTTGTCGTAGGCGACGCCGGCCTGGCCGCCGAACAGGGCGGCCTCGGCCTCGGTCTTGAGCACCTCGGCGCCGGTGAAGATGCCGCCCGCCGGCACGCCGTTCTCGATGAAAGCAGCATAATCGGAGCGCCCGCTGAAGGCCGAGGGGACGTGCTTGGCGCCCTTGCTGTCGTAGAACTTTTCGAACTCCTTCTCGATGGCGTCGGAGCCGGCGGGGCCGACGAGGCCGAAGGCGCTGCCGTCGCCGTCGTAGATGCCGTTGACGTAGTTGGGGGAGGCGATCTGATTTGGTGTCAATGCTGGTGGGAGGAGTATGGGTAAGGTGACCAGAGTAATACTACATACCATGTCAAAGTTGAGATAGGCCCTCATCCTGGCCAGCTCCGTGGCGGATCCGTTGAGCTGGTTGACGTAGTAGCGCGAGCCGAGCAGGCCAAACTCCTCAGCCCCCCACCAGGCAAAGCGGACGGCGTTCTTGACCTTGAACTTGGACAGGGCCTCGGCAACGCGCAGGATGCCGATGCTGCCCGAGCCATCGTCGCTGGGGGTTGTGTCAGTAAACGTCTCTCTCTCTCTCTCTCTCTCGCCCCTTTTGTTGTATTTATAGAGAAAAAAACTCACTTGATGCCAGGACCAGCCCCAACCGAGTCAGAGTGTCCACCCAGGACAAGCACATTGTCGTGGTCGCCGCCCTTGGTCTCGGCGATGAC